TTATCCAGTGACAAGGTCTCATCAAAAACAACTCCTATGTTCCTAGCTTTGTCAGACCGCTCTACACGATGATCACCAACCAGGATACTATCTAAAGATGGGCGTGGCCGATATTTTGAACTGATAACGAGCAGTTCCGTCTTGTCCCTATTCAACTTAAGTTTGTTACAAGACATCCAACGGTCGATATCTCTAACACAAGATTCAACCTGAGAGACAGAATAAGCTTGATCATCCCCACTGAGAGAATTGAAAGACAAATACAGCTGAGTATCATCAGCATAGAAATGATAGCCCATGTTGTACTGTCTGACAATATCCCCCAATGGGGAGGTATAGAGCAGATATAAAATCGGTCCAAGCACGGAGCCCTGTGGTACACCGCACGACAGCGAACGCGTGACAGACCGCGCACCACGAATGCTCACAAAATGAGTTCTGTCGCTCAGGTATGATTTAAACCAGGCCAGAGCTAGATCGCAAAGACCGAAGCGGTTTGCTAATCTCTCAATCAGTATAGTGTGATCAACCGTATCGAAAGCGGCCGATAGATCTAATAAAAGTAAGATAACAGTCCTATTCCTATCAACGTCTAGGATAATATCATTAAAAACTTTGACTAAAGCTGTTTCGGTACTATGAAATTGTTTATATGCAGATTGTAGTATTTCATCAAGTCCATTACTAGAAATGTGATTAATCAACTGAGATGCCACCACCTTCTCAGTGAGTTTAGACATGAACATCAAATTTGAAATAGGACGAAAATTCGAAAAAACTTCAACATCAAGTGTGGGCTTTTTGGGAAGAGGATTCAACAATGCAAGCTTAAAACAGTCTGGAAAAACAGCTAGACATAAAGACTGATTTACAATTTGAGTCATAACAGGCAAAAGAACTGATGTGCACTGCTTCAAAACAGAAGCAGGGACGGGATCAAGAGGACAGGACTTGATGGTCATCTTACTAAGTGATTCCGAGACATCAGACGATGTTACAGCCTTAAAACATGACAAGGCACACTGAAGGACACTGGCATCGGACTCCACAACAATATCAGATGTGGAGTCAAGTGAGTTTCGCAGAACTGTAATCTTCTCAGTAAAGAAGTCAATGAACTTGTTAGCAAGATCACCATCAGACGCGCACCCTGAAGGATACTCCGCGGGCACGCGCTTATGTAGGAGCTTATTTACCGTATTGAAAAGATTTCGAGGATTATTACTACTCTCCCGTATAATGCCCGAGTAATAGTGTACTTTCGTTTTCTTGATCAAAGCGTTCACTCTAAGGCATTGTTCCTTAAATCTAGAATAATCCGATTCTCGTTTTGAAGAACGCCAGCGCCGCTCGAGAGCTCTGCGTTTTTTCTTTTCAGATCGTATTTCCTCAGTGTACCATAGGGCGGTTGGGCGAAGAGTAATGGTCTTAGTCTTCAGAGGCGCGTGTCTGTCTAACAACGACTTTAATGTAGTGTTGTACTCAAAAACAAGTTCACCGAGACTAAGAGAAGCAGCATCACTTACTAGCCTGGTGTTCTCCAACTGACCACAAAACTCGCTAAAATCAATATCACGAATTTTGCGATATGAGATTCGTTTACGCTCGAGTGGTAATTTAGCAAGTTCCAACAAACTGTGTACATAACGAGGAAGTGTAGTTATTTAAAGCTAACTAAGGGCGATACAAAGGGAAAAAGTCACTAAAGACAAATCCACATGATTAAAACTACTTTGGGTAGTTAAGTTTTTAATAAGTAGCGAGACTAGCGAGATACCACCGTTTGGAATTTGTAGGGGAGGTGGCTAAAGTAAGAAAATTATCTCGGGTTCAAGTTCTCTACAACACCTTGAATTCGGGCATTTTATGTAGCTGTTTTGCGGACTTTTTCAAAAGTCTTTCTTTTTTTTTATGGTTCTGGTATTGCGCACGAGCTCCAGCTCCGACGCCAAGTATGGATATGTGATGACTTGTCTTGGTGGTTGATTCAAACAACCTTCCGGGGAACTACACCCACTCCCCTACCTTGTACACCCAGGGTTTAAGGGTACTTAAAGTTGGAATATTACAAAAAAGTAGTTGGCCCTTTGCTGACCTTTATATTACCTACATCTAGCAGCGAAGTGTATTGAAAAGGGAGTGTAAAAATTCAGTGCCTGCTTTAAACTGCAAAAACCCTATCGGACAGAAAAACAGTACTTTAACTAATACTTCTTTTTTTCTTCTTTTTGCAACTCAAGACAAATAAAATTAGTTTTTGGAGCATTAATGCGTAATCTCGTTGGGTTTTAATCATTACCATCTTGCGAGTGATCAGTCGTAAATCTTGTTTCCTCCATGCCTATTCTCACTGGGGCCATCTCGTACAAAGGCCCCAAATCCCCTCGGGATTCAAGGATAAAAATTCCCGCGCGCTCGTAGTCTCCTGGGTGTTCTGTTTCACACAGGTTTTGTATAAATAGGCCTGTTTTTGGCCTGTTTAATTGTCTTTTCGTTAAACGTTCGCCAGTCGTCAGCTTGGCGTCCCTCCCTCCTCCCCGCAGCGATGACCATTGTTGTCATTCTAGCAGCTCCCGCTCCTTTTCGCCTCCGGGCTCGCTTCTTCCCATATCTTATCCTTGCCTCGGGCGTTTGGGAGTGAGGGCTCCTAGTGGGAATTTATTACTAGTACATGTCTCTCTTCATTTTTGAGGAAAAAATGGAAAAATCAAAATTTCGTCAAGACCCCTCTCCAACCCCAAGACCTGAAAATGGTAAGTGATACAGTGTACCAAGGTTTAGTGCTGTGATAGCTTAGACAGGAAATAGTTAGAAATAGCTATTACATTTAAGAAGACCATATAATAGTTCAATTAGAACTTTTTTTCGTTTTTCAACTACGGGCCCTTGAAATTAAACAAAAAAAATGATTAAGACCTCCAGCAAAATCTTACAAAGGTGGCTACTGCTTTGATAAAAGCAATCTCCCCTCCACTTGAACCACATTCTTGACCACCCCCTATGTTTTCTCTCTCCTTCTTGACCCCTTCTTTATTCAGTGTAAGGGTCCTCAGTGTCAGCTTATGTGACTTATCCACTTAAAAGAAGTGCTTTTTACCCTGTGTATATATGAGGACGTAATTTGGCTCGTCGAAAATACAGCTTTGACTTCTTTTTACACTAAATGAGACTTGCGTGTACTTACGTCCTCAGCAAAAAGTATGAATCGAGAGTTGTCATTCGTCGTTCCTGCTCAATTTTGGCGCTGTCAGGTCACACGAAAGAATTTGCAATCCTGGTAAATCGGATTTTTCCCACGTTACTGGCGGCTTGATCACGGCAATAATACCCGTGCATGTGGGTAAAAGTTTCATTAATGGTTCTGATTTCAAAGAGTGACAAAAAGGAAGAACATTTCCAGGTTTACTTCGATAGATCGATTCTTTATTCTGATGGAGTCCGATAGCTCCGTTTAGTTTTTGGGGCCATATATACGATTAGCGCTGATCCTATGGCCCCCACCCGCACCCGCACCCGCACCCGCACCCGCACCCGCGACTTCTACCCGCAAGTCGCGACCCGTAACATTTAGAGGGCCTGTGAACAGGCTGAGCCTTTCTTCACCTTTAGGGGATTTCTAGGCAAAATTTGCTCCTTTTAACAAATTTGATAGAAAAAAAGGCGTTTGGTGCCCCCAGTAGGAAAGTTCCAAACAATACAGGCGGTATGCATCACGAGATTCGACCAATCAGAATGCGTCATTTGTAGAGTGATTTTCGCACTTGGAAAGGGCCGTTTGCAGAGGTATATGTGGTGAAATTTTCGCTTTATTCCAAGCTTGTGTAGGTAATTTCGACACTATACCGCCACGGAAAGTTGGTGGAACACTTTATCTTGATATCAGTTGCGTTAGTTTTAAATATTTTGCTTTCTTGAGCGTTTGTGACAAGTTTGAATTTCTTGGTCATGTGCAAGCCGCCATGATGATTTGAGTGATATTTTCGCCGTTCTACTTGGATTCATTGCTGGTTACTGTTAGTGGTTTTATCGGATTATTTCGGTCAACTTGTTACTTCAACTTTTCTTCTTTGTAAATTTTTGGGTCTACCGGGGTCTACCCCTGTTATGAGGCGTTGAAAGTGTCTTGGAATGAAGAGATTGTCTCGTCCAAGTTGCACAAGTCCCCGGAAACGGGCTGAGAAACTTGCCAAAGCGAAAACCGACGTGAAGCGAGTATCGCAAAATCCAGGAAGAGTTTTTTTCATTTTAAACCAGAAAAGGTAAATAAGATTGAATATTGTGATAACCTTTGGAAACAAAACATTTTTCATAACCTAGTGCTGAAACTGAAAGCGTGTCTTTAAAATAATTTGCATGCAGTGTGTGCTATGTGGATGCAAATCCTCATGTAAATTTACGCGAGGGAATAAATGTCAACCAAAACACAAAACGATTATGAAGATCTAGACAACATCATACAGGATTTTAAAACATGAGGCTAGGTTTATAACAAAATCGATACACTGCGCTCACTTCAATGAACGTACAGACTAGATTGTGGTTTATTTCTGCGGGCTTAGGGGCTTAGCTTCGGTGAAATCCTATTGTGCTGTAGCTGTTTGGGCACTACTTTTGGTCTGTTTTTCCCTTGCCTACAGAAGATTTATTTGCTTATAAGGATTACAAACAGTCAATGTTTGCAACATAATATAAAATTGTCGATGAAAATAGAATTGTTATGAGAGACGATGCAAGATTTCTCACCTTGCTCTTTGTTCGCACTCCCCCTCCTTGCCGGGTTATTAAAGTCCATCAAACGTTACTATTAAATGGACAAATTTTTTATTTAAGCAGATCCAGGTATGAGCTACAGATCTCTTTCACACTCTTCTGAGATAGAAATATACATATAAACACAGCACTAAACAGTACATAAAATCTTCAGAGAAGCAGGAAATCGCCGCCTAAAATTGCACCGGCTTCGATCGTCTTTCGAATCGCGATAAACTTACTGAAATTACCTTGTGAAGCCAATAGCAAGCATCTAAGGCCAGTATGAGATCCTGAAAATTCTCCAAATCGCTCTCCTCCGTAATGTTTTTCAGAAAAGGAAGCAGTGTTTTGATCCTGGGTTTTGATTCATCTCTCTCACGAGATGCGAACTCGACCGTGTCACGATTGAAATGAGGCACATAAACAGTTTTACCCATGAACCTTTGTGGGTCGTGACGCACACCGCCTGAAAACAATATAAAACAATTCATCAGTAGGCCCGCTGCCTCGCGATACGTCATGCATGTTATTTTAAGGGCTGTGGTGTTTGTTTCATTATCATGCGATGCTTTACTTCTTAGAATGTAGAGACGGTCCCAGACTTTTCAATTTTCAGTTTCCTTTTTGTACTTCTGGAGGGAAAGATTTTTGGTGAGTACGTTGATCTAGGCGTTTATACTTCCTAGTTTAAGATTCGATGAGTATTAAGTTTCCGTTTTTGACATGTCAGTCAACTAGGAAATTAGAAGTGATATTTGTTTGTTTCTCTCCTTCTTCTCGGAAAGTGAAATGATTTCTTGTTGATGATCAGGGGCAGGACAAAATAAAGAGTTTTTTCGTTGCGATTCCTAAATATTGGCAGACTCTTCACTAACAAGAGATTTTTTTGAGAACTTTCCCTTGATTGCAAGGAGAGTGGTTGCTTTAAGGCATTGCGAGCTTAATTCAAACTATCTAGTTTTGTGTCCACAAAGTTATATATAACCTTGTTTTTTCATAGCGATATTTTTAACATGAACTAACAGAAGTGTCGGGAAGGTACAGAAAAAGCTTATTTATTCTCACTGAAAGTTTTAAATCTTTCAAGTTCATCCATTTTACAGGTTGAGTAACAAAAATTGACGGGTTTTGTCCCTCTGTTTAAATTTTATTCATGCTTCACTTTGTTTACTTTTTTTCGTTTGATTGATTCTTTTCATGAGCAAAGGCGATTTTGTTGCTAAGAACTTTGGTCTCCTCTGACAGATTGGTATACATGTAAGTCAGCAGCAATGTACGGAAATCGCTTTCCATGTTACCTGTATTTGATATGCTATTATGGGAGCAAGATGGTTTTGTCTTTCTTGCATTCACCAAGATCTTATACATGAGTTCCGCTTCGCAGGTTGAGCGGCAGCGAGCGACATTTATTGTCTTTAGTTTCCGTTATATTTATGTAGCTTTTCTTTACAGTGGCGGTATGCGAGTCTAATTTTCCTTGGTAAAAAAGTGTCAACGAAATAGCTTCCCGTCCAGTCGTAACGAGGGACTTCTTGATTTTATCTCCCAGAGCATAACCGCCTTTGAAGGTCTGATAGCACGCCAGACGTGACTGACAAACGCCCGGCGAAGGTAAGACTTGAGGTCTTAATGAATATAGTTAAAGAAAGGGATATATATTTTCTCTCACATAAAAAGGCAAAAACTGCATTGTGCTTGAAAGAGAGCTCCCTTCTTCGTTTTGTTAAGGGATATTTTGTTTAAGATGTCTATTTCAGAGAGCGAATATGTTATTTCTTGAGTAACCTGGGAAAATATAAACTAGAAAAAATGAATGACAAAGAGAAATGTTTGTAAACGACTTTGCAGATTCGTCTATTCTGAAATGTAAAGCCAGTGCCAGTGTACGCATTTGTATTGATTAGTGTAGGGACGGGAGATATATTTTTTCTGACATAAAAAGCCAACACTGCATTATTGCTTGAAGAGGAGCTTCATTGTTTGTTTCGTTAAGGGTTATTTCCCTTTAAATGTGTAAAAGCAAATAATTATGGATAAGGTGATGGGAAAAGGGTTAGAACACGTTATTTGTTATTTCTTTAATTACCTTGAAAGTATGAAAAATAGTGGCTGACAAAAAAAAATAAAATCGTTTGTAGAAGAGAGGGTAACGCAAGTGCACATGTAGGAATCTGTATCAGTAAACTGACTAAGTTTCGACCAGGATAAGTCAGGGTGGTTTACTATGATTTGAGTGTGATATGAAAACTGGCTTTTTAAATTAATATATACAGATTTAGCCAAGCCTAAAAGCGAAGCTTCCGTTTAAACAATGTCAATTCGCTCGCAACAACGAAGGATATTTATTTGCAAGTGAGTTGTTTAGTTCTCCCTTCCCTCTTGAAAAGCAAAAAAGGTTTCTTGTTGCGAACCAGGGACAGGACAGGCCCAAGACTTCGTTCGTTGCGATTCTTGAGTATGGGCAGATTCTTCACCGAAGAAAGATTTTACATAATTTTTCTCTCTAATACATTGATAGTGGATACTTTAAAATATTGCGCGCTTAAACTAAATTTGCTGTCAACTGAATTGGATATAGCCTCGCTTTCTCTTTTACGCTGTTTTCATAACATAATGCACCGGGAAGCCACAAATTTCATTTACTCTGTCGGAAGGTTTTTTTTATATCTTTTAAGTTTATCTTTGTATTCTGTAATTTTATTCACGTATCGTTTTGTTTACCGTTTATGCAGGTGGTTGACTCTTTTCGGGACAAACGTTGGTTTGCTTGGCGGTGTGGACCTTGATCTTACTGCTGGAAAACACAACATTCAAGTTAGAGGTCTAGAAATTTCCGCAGATCAGGTTAAACAAACAATATTTTGTCCAAACTCGTTTAATAATTGATTATTATTTGCATATCGGTGCCATTTATGGAAAGTCTCTATGGTGTCACGTTGACTTCTGGTTTCCCTAATATAGGCATGGTTCAAAAGCTGGGAGAAAAAAAAGGAAAAATCGCATAAGACATTGAGATTTAAGGATGAATAATTTAGTTCTTTTGTTATACTCCCGCAGCCTCAAAGTCAAGTTTGAATTTTGATAGTTTGAAACTGAACTGTTAGTGAAAGTCCCGGGTTTTCAAGGGTCTTTAACTTAAGCGCAACATACGCAAAGGCGCGACACCAATCAAGGTAGGTAGTTTGATTATGCAATGATTCCAAATTAATGCGCAACATACATACCTCCACGACTAGTATATATATTTCAGTATTCATCAATCGTTATGAAAGTTTCAGGCATTTTATACATCATGAAGATTATGTGTTGAGGTTCAAAAAGAATTCTGTCGAGCAGTTCCAAAGATATACAGAAAAACGCTACAAATCAAAATTTATAGTAAAGTTGCACTTGGACAGGTGGTGGTGACAAAAAAGAAAGAAAAAACACCAAAATTTCCTACCATCGCATTATAATATTAAGCAGCATTCTGATGTTACTTAAGATTAATTTGAGTAATATAGAACTTATTTATTAAGGAATATATCACGGCTATTGAAAATATAACGTTTGGAACATATTTACGTAATTTTTAAAATTCAATCACAGTTTTTTTTTTCTCACGCAGGTTATTTGCTAAACATGACACTTCCTCTTATCGAATTTCCAGTAGCAGACCTAGATCGAGCAAAAATTCGGCTTTGATCAATTATTTCAAGTGATATCGATGTTACTTGTACATTTTGACAAACTTCAGTCCAAAGTCAGGCGGTGAAAATTTTACAGCGATCGGATAAGCATACAATCACTTTTGAGGCGATTGAAAAGTATCGGTATGGTCTCCGAAAAACTGTATCTAGTCACCTTTTTGACATTTAAAAATGTCACATGCAAGCTTGGGTACCTCCCAGGAAAATTTCTTGCTTTCACTTTTTTACGCTTAAAATATTTTGTTTGAAGGTTAAGAAAATAGAGTCATGGACAACATCTTCGCGATTCGACAGGCCATTCAGATTGTTTCAGTCGTCACAATTTTCCTTTTCAACAAAAAATGTATCGTAAAACCAATATACATCTTTACGGAATTTTTGATTCGACAAAGCCCGAGAGACAGTCAAACAACTTACAATACCAACTGTTAGCTACGTATTCGATAAACTTCTTGATGGCTACAATGATCTCATTTACGGTCACACCAGTGCGATAGAATGTGCTACAAAACTTCACGTGACACTACACGAGCGTGGCCGAAAAATAAGAGAAGGGATACTATAAACCTGTTGTGTAATACGGGCACTAGCCTCCCAGTCGAAAGGGAGGGTAAAGTGCCTATACTTTTCAGTGCTAAGCGCTTTACAATGCTTTAAAAAGGTCCGGATATCCATATAATCCTTACATAGTCACAAAAATGCAAAATAAAAACCTAAGATAGTTCGTAAACTCGCTTAAAAAGAAAGGTCTTCAAATTAGATTTAAATTTATTTACAGCAAACCTGGATCGCAGTCTGTGTAATAAGATCTTATGATTGACGGTGTCGAAGACTACTGATAGGTCCAGCAGCAAGAGAACGACGCATTGTTTATTATCAATTGATTTCAGTATATCACATTTTGAACACGTAGAAACGCTGTCTCACGACTGTGGTGTTTCTTATAAGCAGACTGGAGACTTTCATTCAGATCATTATCACACAAATAATCCGTCAGGCGAATGGCTGCAACTTTTTCAATAACCTTAGACAACAACTTAGGTTAGATACAGGGTTTAGGGTACACTAAAATATAGGGTTCGGCTGGGCGTAGATAGACTGATCATAGCTACTCATGCTGTCACAGACGCTCTTTTCGTGGCCACAAACAACGTATCTAAGATGACATAAAGGGGAATTAGGAAATGGGAAATCATTGATTCACAAATTTAGAAAGCGTTTATCGTGGCGCAATTGTACTTTGGCCATTTTCGTTCAATAGGTTCATTATTATTCACATGTAGGTGCCATCTATGAACATATATGTGAAGTCTTCATGTAATGACGTCCACTTTTGGCTTCCATTTTAGACCGGTATCGAATTTTTAAAATTCATAACTGGCTCAGGGGTTGAGTTGAACAAAATTAAATAAGTCGCATCTAGATTCAATGATGGACAATTCTAATATGAATTTTCATAATTGGAAACTGCCTGTTAAGGGAAAGTCCAGGGTTTTTAAGCCGTGGCACAGTAGTCGCAAAGGCGCAACAGAATACGTTAGGTAGTAAAGGAAAGCCTGTTTGGTAAATTTGGAGCTGCACTAAAAACTATGTTTGTCCATACTTTCATTATAGGATTCTTGTGGACGTTTTTCATATACAGAAATTTTAAGGAAACCATTTTTAACAATAATCGCTTTATCTTGGCAATAAATTTGAAAAACTCAAAATCCGAAAATCGTAGGTAAGCTAGTAAAAAAAAAAAAGAAAAATTCTCAATATTCGCTTGCGGTCAATAAATCGCCACGTTTTCTATTTTCTTACGCACGCTCTTACAAGAAAAAATGGAGGACATGGGAACAGGCTAGCCTTTCCCAAGTTTTAGAGATTTCTAGTCAATATTTGCTCCTTCCAAAAAATTTTACTGATAAAAGTTTTTGGGTGCCCCTGGTATGAAAGTTCCAAACGATATAAAAATTCATCAGTAGGCATACTGCCTCGCGACACGTCATGCGTGTTATATCAAGGGCTAGGGCGTTTCTTTCGGGGAATCATTATCACTCGGGGCTTTGTTTCTTAGAATGCAGGGACAGTCCCAGAATTTTCAATTTTCACTTTCCTTTCGGTACTTTTAGTGAGAGAGTTTTTGTTGAGTACATTGATCTAACCATATTTACTTCTTAGTTTAAGACTCAAATATTCAGTTCCCGTTCTTGACATGTCGGTCAACTAGGAAATTAGAAGAGAGAGATGCTTGTTTCTCTCTTCTTCTCGGAAAGGGAAACGATTTCTTGTTGATGATAAGAGGCAGGACAAATTAAGATTTCTTTCGTTGCGATTCCTTAATGTTGGGAGGCTCTTCATCAACAAAAGATTTCGAGAACTTCATTCCTTTGATTCAGCTTGATTGCAAGTTCCGTGGTTACCTTAAAGGCATTGCCAGCTTAATTCAAACTATTTGGTTTTGCGTCCAAGTTAGATATCACCTTGTTTTCGTTTCATAGTGATATTTTTAACATGAAGTGTCGGGAAGGTACAGATATTCTCCCTAAAAGTTTTTAATCTTTTCAACAATTCATCCAGTTTGCAAGTTGAGCAACAAAAATTGACGGGTTTTTCCCTTTTGTGTAAATTTTATTCATGCAATTTTGTTTACCTTTTATGCATTTGGTTGATTCTTTTCATGAACCGTAAAGGCGAGTTTGTTGGTCAGAACTTTCGTCTCTCCTGGCAGGTTAGCATAGAAGTGTACGTTAGCAATGAGCGTAAATCGCCTTACGTGTTAAACGTATTTGAAATAATAATATGGGAGCAAGATGGTTTTGTCTTTCTTGCATTCACCAAGATCTTATACATTATAAGTTCCGCTTCGCAGGTTTAGCGGAAGCGAGGGACATGCATTGTCTTTAGTTTCCGTTATATTCATGTGGCTTTTCTTTAAAGTGGCGGCATGCGCCGGGTCTTTTACTTTCCCTGTTAAAATTTAAAGTGTCAACGAAATAGCTCGCCCTCCATACGTAACAACGGCGACTTCTTGATTTTATTTTCCAGAGCAAACAGCCTTCGAAGATCTGATAGCACGCTAGGCGCGACTGACAGAATTCGCCCGGCGCCGGTAAGTATAGCCTGACTTGTTTTATGACTAGTTTGGAAAGGGATAGAGATATATATATATATATTTGTCACATAAAAAGGCGAGAAATGCAGTGTGCTTGAAGGAGAGCTTCCTTTTTTGTTTCATTAAGGGATATTTTGTTTAAGATGTCTAAATTAAGTGTAAAAATTGTACGCTTAGACTAATTTAAGTGTCTAGTTTGGTGTCCACTGAATTGGATGTAACCTTGTTTTATTTTATAAAGTGATTCTGTAATTAAGATTCCGGTGAGGTAAAAACTTTACTCCTGTTACTGAAAGTTTTGATTCTTTTACGTTCATCCATTTTACAGCCTGAGCGACAAAACATTTCTTGTCTGTAATTGCATGGTGATTTAATCTTTTGTCTTTCTTTTACTTTTTTTGTCGAAGTATATGTGGTGAAATTTTCGCTTTATTCCAGGCTTGTGTAGGTAATTTCGACACTATACCGCCATGGAAAGTTGGTGGAACACTTTATCTTGATATCAGTTGCGTTAGTTTTAAATATTTTGCTTTCTTGAGCGTTTTTGACAAGTTTGAATTGCTTGGTGATGTGCAAGCCGCCATGATGATTTGAGTGTCATTTTCGCCGTTCTACTTGGATTCATTGCTGGTTACTGTTAGCGGTTTTATCGGATTATTTCGGTCAACTTGTCACTTGAACTTTTCTTCTTTGTAAATTTTTGGGTCTACCGGGGTCTACCCCTGTTATGAGGCGTTGAAAGTGTCTTGGAATGAAGAGATTGTCTCATCCAAGTTGCACAAGTCCCCGGAAACGGGCTGAGAAACTTGCCAAAGCGAAAACCGACGTGAAGCGAGTCTCGCCAAATCCAGGAAGAGTTTGTTTCATTTTAAACCAGAAAAGGTAAATAAGTTTGAATATTGTGATAACTTTTGGAAACAAAACATTTTTCGTGACCCAGTGCGGAAACTGAAAGCGTGTCTTTAAAATAATTTGCATGCAGTGTGTGCTATGTGTATGCAAATCCTCATGTAAATTTACGCGAGGGAATAAATCTCAACCAAAACACAAAACGATTATGGAAGATCTAGACAACATCATACAGGATTTTTAAACTGAGGTTAAGTTTATAACTAAATCGATACACTGCGCTCACTTCAATGAACGTACAGACTAGATTGTGGTTTTTTTCTGCGGGCTTAGCTTCGGTGAAATTCCTATTGTGCTGTAGCTGTTTGGGCGCTACTTTTGGTCTGTTTTTCCCTTGCCTATAGAAGATTTATTTGCTTATAAGGATTACAAACAGTCAATATAAAATTGTCGATGAAATTAAAATTGTTATGAGAGACGATGCAAGATTTCTCACCTTGCTCTTTGTTCGCACTCCCCCTCCTTGCCGGGTTATTAAAGTCCATCAAACGTTACTATTAAATGGACAAATTTTTTAATTAAGCAGATCCAGGTATGAGCTACAGATGTCTTTCACACTCTTCTGAGATAGAAATATACAGATAAACACAGCACTAAAGAGTACATAAAATCTTCAGAGAAGCAGGAAATCGCCGCCTAAAATCGCACCGGCTTCGATCGTCTCCGAATCGCGATAAACTTATTGAAATTACCTTGTGAAACCAATAGCAAGCATCTAAGGCCAGTATGAGATCCTGAAAATTCTCCAAATCGCTCTCCTCCGTAATGCTTTTCAGAAAAGGAAGCAGTGTTTTGATCCCGGGTTTTGATTCATCTCTCTCACGAGATGCGAACTCGACCGTGTCACGATTGAAATGAGGCACATAAACAGTTTTACCCATGAACCTTTGTGGGTCGTGACGCACACCGCCTGAAAACAATATAAAACAATTCATCAGTAGGCCCGCTGCCTCGCGACACGTCATGCATGTTATATTAAGGGCTGTGGTGTTTGTTTCATTATCATGCGAGGCTTTACTTCTTAGAATGTAGAGACGGTCCCAGACTTTTCAATTTTCAGTTTCCTTTTTGTACTTCTGGTGAGAAAGATTTTTGGTGAGTACGTTGACCTGGGCATTTATACTTCCTAGTTTAAGATTCGATGAATATTAAGTTTCCGTTCTTGACATGTCAGTCAACTAGGAAATTGGAAGTGAGATTTGTTTGTTTCTCTCCTTCTTCTCGGAAAGCGAAATGATTTCTTGTTGATGATCAGGGGCAGGACAAAATAAAGATTTTTTTCGTTGCGATTCCTAAATATTGGCAGACTCTTCACCAACAAAAGATTTTGAGAACTTTCCCTTGATTGCAAGGAGAGTGGTTGCTTTAAAGCATAGCGAGCTTAATTCAAACTATGTAGTTTTGTGTCCACAAAGTTATATATAACCTTGTTTTTCATAATAATATTTTTAACATGAACTAACAGAAGTGTCGGGAAGGTACAGAAAAAGCTTATTTATTCTCACTGAAAGTTTTGAATCTTTCAAGTTCATCCATTTTATAGGTTGAGCAACAAAAATTGACGGGTTTTGTCCCTCTGTTTAAATTTTATTCATGCTTCACTTTGTTTACTTTTTTTCGTTTGATTGATTCTTTTCATGAGCAAAGGCGATTTTGTTGCTAAGAACTTTGGTCTCCTCTGACAGATTGGTATACATGTAAGTCAGCAGCAATGTACGGAAATCGCTTTCCTTGTTACCTGTATTTGATATACTCTTATGGGAGCAAGATGGTTTTGTCTTTCTTGCATTCACCAAGATCTTTTACATGAGTTCCGCTTCGCAGGTTGAGCGGCAGCGAGCGACATTTATTGTCTTTAGTTTCCGTTATGTTTATGTAGCTTTTCTTTACAGTGGCGGTATGCGAGTCTAATTTTCCCTGGTAAAAAAGTGTCAACGAAATAGCTTGCCGTCCATTCATAACGAGGGACTTCTTGATTTTATCTCCCAGAGCATAACCGCCTTTGAAGGTCTGATAGCACGCCAGACGTGACTGACAAACGCCCGGCGAAGGTAAGACTTGAGGTCTTAATGAATATAGTTAAAGAAAGGGATATATATTTTCTCCCACATAAAAAGGCAAAAACTGCATTGTGCTTGAAAGAGAGCTCCCTTCTTCGTTTTGTTAAGGGATATTTTGTTTAAGATGTCTATTTCAGAGAGCGAATATGTTATTTCTTGAGTAACCTGGAAAAATATAAACTAGAAAAGATGAATGACAAAGAGAAATGTTTGTAAACGACTTTGCAGATTCGTCTTTTCTGAAATGTAAAGCCAGTGCCAGTGTACGCATTTGTATTGATTCGTGTAGGCACGGGATATATATTTTTTCTGACATAAAAAGCCAACACTGCATTGTTGCTTGAAGAGGAGCTTCATTGTTTGTTTCGTTAAGGGTTATTTCCCTTTAAATGTGTAAAAGCAAATAATTATGGATAAGGTGATGGGAAAAGGGTTAGAAAACGTTATTTGTTATTTCTTTAATTATCTTGAAAGTATGAAAAATAGTTCCTGACAAAAAAAAATAAAAACGTTTGTAGAAGAGAGGGTAACGCAAGTGTACATGTAGGAATCTGTATCAGTAAACTGACTCAGTTTCGACCAGGATAAGTCAGGGTGGTTTAGTATGATTTGAGTGTGATATGAAAACTGGCTTTTTAAATTAATATATACAGATTTAGCCAAGCCTAAAAGCGAAGCTTCCGTTTAAACAATGTCAATTCGCTTGCAGCAACGAAGGATATTTATTTGCAAGTGAGTTGTTTAGTTCTCCCTTCCCTCTTGAAAAGCAAAAAAGGTTTCTTGTTGAGAACCAGGGACAGGACAGGTCCAAGATTTCGTTCGTTGCGATTCTTGAGTATAGGCAGATTCTTCACCGAAGAAAGATTTTACATAATTTTTCTCTCTAATACATTGATAGTGGATACTTTAAAATATTGCGCGCTTAAACTAAGTTTGCTGTCAACTGAATTGGATATAGCCTCGCTTTCTCTTTTACGCAGTTTTCATAACATAATGCACCGGGAAGGCACAAATTTCATTTACTCTGTCGGAAGGTTTTTTTTATATCTTTTAAGTTTATCTTTGTATTCTGTAATTTTATTCACGTATCGTTTTGTTTACCGTTTATGCAGGTGGTTGACTCTTTTCGGGACAAACGTTGGTTTGCTTGACGTTGTGGACCTTGATCTTACTGCTGGAAAACACAACATTCAAGTTAGAGGTCTAGAAATTTCCGCAGATCAGGTTAAACAAACAATATTTTGTCCAAACTCGTTTAATAATTGATTATTATTTGCATATCGGTGCCATTTATGGAAAGTCTCTATGGTGTCACGTTGACTTCTGGTTTCCCTAATATAGGCATGGTTCAAAAGCTGTGAGAAAAAAAAAACCGCATAAGACATTGAGATTTAAGGATGAATAATTTAGTTCTTTTGTTATACTCCCGCAGCCTCAAAGTCAAGTTTGAATTTTGATAGTTTGAAACTGAACTGTTAGTGAAAGTCCCGGGTTTTCAAGGGTCTTTAACTTAAGCGCAACATACGCAAAGGCGCGACACCAATCAGGGTAGGTAGTTTGATTATGCAATGATTCCAAATTAATGCGCAACATACATACCTCCACGACTAGTATATATATTTCAGTATTCATCAATCGTTATGAAAGTTTCAGGCATTTTATACATCATGAAGATTATGTGATGAGGTTTAAAAAGAATTCTGTCGAGCAGTTCCAAAGATATACAGAAAAACGCTACAAATCAAAATTTAGAGTAAAGTTGCACTTGGACAGGTGGTGACAAAAAAGAAAGAAAAAACACCAAAATTTCCTACCATCGCATTATAATATTAAGCAGCATTCTGATGTTACTTAAGATTAATTTGAGTAATATAGAACTTATTTATTAAGGAATATATCACGGCTATTGAAAATATAACGTTTGGAACATATTTGCGTTTTTTTTAAATTCAATCACAGTTTTTTTTTTCTCACGCAGGTTATTTGCTAAACATGACACTTCCTCTTATCGAATTTCCAGTAGCAGGCCTAGATCGAGCAAAAATTCGGCTTTGATCAATTGTTTCAAGTGATATCGTTGTTGCTTGTACATTTTGACAAACTTCAGTCCAAAGTCAGGCGGTGAAAATTTTACAGCGATCGGATAAGCATACAATCACTTTTGAGGCGATTGAAAAGTATCGGTATGGTCTCCGAAAAACTGTATCTAGTCACCTTTTTGACATTTAAAAATGTCACATGCAAGCTTGGGTACCTCCCAGGAAAATTTCTTGCTTTCACTTTTTTACGCTTAAAATATTTTGTTTGAAGGTTAAGAAAATAGAGTCATGGACAACATCTTCGCGATTCGACAGGCCATTCAGATTGTTTCAGTCCTCGCAATATACCTTTTCAATAAAAAATGTATCGTAAAACCAATATACATCTTTA